TGACGAGGGTCTTCCTGTTTGATGACCTTCTTCTGGACCAAGTGTGAAGTCCTTCTGCAGAGACCAGTTCCTCCTAATGATATGTCTCCAGCACATGAGGCAAAGTCTTGCCAACCTTACTTTTAAGGAGCACTCTGACTGTACTTCACAACAGGACAGACTCATTTCCTCTCCTGGTGGCCCATGGCATAGTCAATACTCCCTCTCTTCCAGCCTTGGTCAACTTCCAAGAATGATTCTCTGTGTGTGTAACCTTTCCTTAGCTTTTTAGAATAGTAGTCCGATACCCTAATTTCCCTTTGTGACTGACTTATCTCACTCGGCATAAATTTCTTCTCATTTCATCCTTGTTGTGCATTATTACAGATTCTTTTGTTCTTTACAGTTGCATAGTACTCCACTGCGTGAACGTACCATAATTTCTTTATCCATTCATCTGTTGATTATATTCTGTAATGTCCAACACTGTAATTCAAAGGTTTCAATAATTCTCTGATCTCCTTTATTCATTATCCAGCTTTTCATATATGTGTAGGGCAGAAAATACCATGGCTTTGAGTCAAGTGCACCTTCAAGCCTCAAAGTGGCATCATGTTTTGTAGTACTTTACACAGGTCTTTTACAGCATGTTTGCCCACTGCAGGTCGGCCTTTGGCCTCCTGAGTGATGTTTACGTGGCATTGATTGGGGAGCAGTCAGTAAAATAAAAGCCTTCACGATTTCCCTCTTTTCTTCATTTGTCCTAATGTTGCTCATTGACGTGTTTGGGAGGCTTCTGCTTCATGCTGAGGTGTAATCCGTACTGAAGGCTGCGGTCTCCGCTCCTTTATCAGTCGATGCTCCGGGTCATCTGCACTGAAAACATCATATTGTTGCTGTTAGGTGCCATCGAGTTGAGTGCAGCTCGTTGCGACCCTGTAAACGAAAGATCTGAAACCAGTCCTGCCCTGCGCCACCCTCACACTTCCCGATACCCAAGAGCCCATTGCAGCTGTCACCGTGTCAGTCCACTTGGTTAAGGGCCTTCCTCTTCCTTGCCGACCCTCCACCCTTCCCAGCATCATGTCCCTCTCCAAGGAACAGCCCCTCCTAGCAGTATGTCCAGAATATGTGAGGTGAAGCCTCATCATCCTTGTCTCCAAAGAGCACGCCGGCTGCACCCTCTCCACGACATATCTGTTCGTTTTCTTGGATGTCCATGGAGTGTTTAGTGCTCTTCTCCAGCACCACAGCTCAAAAACATCATTCTTTTTCTGTCATCCTTATTCACTGTCCAGGTCTCAGATGCACAGCTAGTAATCGGAAAGACCATGGCCTGAATCAGATGCATCTTCATCCTTAAACTGACACCTCTACTCCTCAAGAATTTAGAAGGGTCCCCAACTGCAGGTTTTCCCAGTGCAGTGCGTCTCCTTATTTTCTGACTGCTTGAACCAAAGGTGTTAATTGTGGATCCAAGCAAGATGAAGTTGTTGACAGTTTCAATCTCCTCCCCATCCATGTGTTAATTATGTCATGTTTAATAATTAGAAATTGTCCCACTAAAATTGGGTTCAGGACAAGCAGACCTGTTCTTGCTTGCTTTCAGTGTTGTGTTGGAGTGCCTTGCAGAAAATATTAAGAAAGGTGGGTTCTCCCAGCCCACCGTTCCGCATCCATTAATTCATTCAGTCGACTGCCAATTGAAAAGACAGCTCATTTCCATCAGTTCAGAACCAACTCATAACGGACCCCTAGTGGGTTTTCTGAGGCTGTAAATCACACAGGAGGAGATTGTCCATCTTTTTCTCTTGGCACCACTGTCAGAGAGAAACATCTGAGTTATCCAAGCGACCCTCTACGTAAAAATAGGCAAAACAATTCTGAAAAGGCTAAGAGGAAGCTTGAAGCTCTTTTTACATAGTATTTCAATTGTATTAGATATTGAGAGATGTTTAATATATGGGAGGATGTGCATAGGTTATATGCAGGTTCTGTGCCAGTTTGCATAAAGGACTTGAATATCTGGATTTTTGAGTCTTGAGGGTGGAGAGAGAGCATCCTTCCTGGAACCAGTCCCCTTCAGATACTGAGGGACTATTGATGCTGGAAAGGAAACTATTACACATGAAGTGATTTCCTTAGAAAACTCCAGAAAAGCATTTGATCAAATATTTGTACTTTATCAGTGTACACAGTGAGATACCTTTCTGTGTAGAAAATGGAAAAATGTAAACCGCCTTTCATTCTTGCTACACCCTTGAGGCAGATTTTAGCCCATGTTAACAGATGTCAGAACTGGAGTTAGACGTGAACTTGGCCAAAATTTGTCATTTGCAGAGCAGTGATTCGGATGCCCCCCTGAGTTCATCGCCTCATATTAAGTTGCTAATCTCTTAATTGGACTTCTTTTTAATAATGGGCTTGCACACAGAGTCTGCGGCACACTTTCATTGGAGGACACGTTCCCAGGGGCAGCTTGTTACCTGCATCCCAGTGCTGGAAGGCCACTCCACTCACATGTGGCTAGTGACAGTGATCCTCCACTGGCCAAGGCTCGTTTCGGGAAGCTGGCAATCCCACTTTGAAGCTGCCCCTTTTGGGAACCGAGGTCCCCAAGTGCGGACGTTCTCAGAGCGACCCTGTGTCTGCCCTTGAGCTGTTAACAGCTCAAAGCTACCTACCAGGGGACAAAACCACCCCTATTGCCATTGAATAGATTCTGAGATCCAAACCCCAGTGAAGCTGTTGGGTGAGAAGGTGGGAATGCTTGGAAGCAGCTTGTCACACAGACAGGGAGGTGTGAGGATTCTACTTGTGCATCTGTGTTGTGCTTGCGTGTCTGTGTCCATACATTCTCCATTGGGCGGGCCATTTTTCTGGATTCTTCATGGGTAACCACGAGCCTTGTTGCAGGAGAACCACAAGCATTCTCAGAGGTGAAACACCCCTCCTATTCTTGGAGACACCCCATAGTTTAACTTTGCAGCTGCTTTGTAGGATTTGTCCAGTAGCGTAGATCGGGCCATGCCTGGGTCACTGACAGGGTCTTGGCCCACTCAGTCACCAAGGGGCTGGCTGGCATCAGGAGCTCCCCACGTGCCCCCCCCAGCTCATCACAGACAGCTGTGGGGGTGGGGAGCTGTGGTCACACCTCTCGAGTTTAATGTGCCTTCTTGCTTCTTCATAAATCAGTGAGATCGAGACGTACTGGAAACCCTCTGATGAACACCTGAGGGACTTTGCACTTGGCATGATGTCGAGAGGCCATTGGGCACCAGGGCGGTAAAATGGGTGTATCAGAGATCAAGTGGCTGATTGGCTCAAGAACAATAGGTGTGCCCCACGTCACACGTTGGTAACCTGGACATGGGCCCAGGAACCAGGGCAGATTGGGTGGGCAAATGCCGAACCCACAGTTGACAGTACCTACTGACTGGGTTTCTGAGAATGCAGGGCCGATGGTGTGCTGTGAAGTGTGACTCGGGGGTGACTTCTTATGACAAGCTGATGACGGTGATGGGCATTGAGTAGGAATGTGACTCGAGGTTCAGGTCACACTGAAGGCCTTACTCAGACGGTGTTTGAGATCTTTAGAGACCTTCGTGCAGGGAGGTGGCACCCCACTTATCTGCAGGCTTGTATAAAGGTAGGGCACACCTTCGTACTTGGAAGACTCATATTGGGACTAATCTCCACAAGCCCTGTGCACAGCAGCTCTTGATGCTTCATTTTTCTGAATATTTACAACGTAATAAATGGGAGAGAGAGGAGGAGAAAAGGAATTTTCATAAATGTTTTAACAGCTCACGTAACACATGAGGATTTAAGGCAAAACAAAACTGTATGGAGTAGACAGATAAGCAGAAGAGACGTGAAGGGTGGCAAGCAGCCACTGCCAAGAACACGCACCTGGTACAGGCTGGAGGCTGACGTGGAATGGCTACGGCCAGGCTGTGAACTGAAAGATTGGGTGCACGCGTCTACCCGGAAGTGCAGCAGAAGAAAGGCCTGGCAGTCTACTTCAGAAATAAAGATTCTTTGGAAACCCTCTGGAGTCCGAGCCTGCTGTGACACACGGGGGCTCGCTAGGAGTTGGAATTGTCATGACAGCACTAGTGTATACTTCATGAAATGATGTCAAGAAGCATGTGAAATGAGGTGTTTTTTTAAAAAAAAAATAAAAATCTTTTATTTAATCTGGGGAAAGGAAAAGATCCATCTTTCTAGGGAAGAGGCATTGGGGGTCCTGGCTTTAAAGACAGTTGGTTCTGCGTGTAAGAACTTAGGAGCATGTGGATCCTGACCTGGGGGGGCGGGCAGTGTGAGTGTCTTATCACCTGGATCCACCACCTGTGTCTTCACGTCTCAGGTGAAGGAGGAGGCACTGTGCTGTGCTGGTGGCAGGTGAGGCACCGTGACCAGAGCTGCAGTCCACGCTGACAGCTGGTCACCTCCCAGCCACAGTCATGGAGGCTGCTAGGAGCACAGCTGTGCACGCCCCCTGGGCAGCACCTTCCCCCGGCACGCCCGGCAAGTCTGCAGGCCCCCATCTCCTATTCTGCAGGCCCCCTATCCAATTGTACAGTGGCCACCAGCCCCAAACATGACACTTTCTCCATGGAAAGCCAGTTCTTGCTGCTCCAGAGGCATTCCTCTCTCTGAGGGCATTGCAGGCTGGGATTAGCCCCACTTACATTTGGTTTGGATTTTGCAGGGCCACACACGGGGTAGCCACTCTGGACTAACTTGAGTACTCCTTCCCCGAACCTGGTCCCTGCTCCCATATTTGAGAAAACAACTCAGTGGAAGTCTGGCTGTGGCCTGCCTTTAGCCCTAGAGCTAGCCGCATCGTGTTTGGGTAAACTAACCCTTCAAGAGGCTGTTTTCTTTAACGACCAGCATAAACTCAAGATTTGGGGCAGTCTAGTAAGATGCCGCGTGTATTTGAGTCGTGCGTGTTAACGGTTAACGTGTGGGGTTTTGTTTTCACTCACTGTTGATGTCCTCCCTTCAAACAGACAGCCACAGACAGTTCTTCTAACTCCTCGCAGAAGAAGGAGCAGCCTACTCGGACAATCTCCTCTCCGACGTCCTGTGAACACCGGAGGATTTACACTCTGGGCCACCTCCATGACTCGTACCCCCCAGACCACTATCACCTCGAGCAGGTAAGCAGCTGGAGAGGGTGGCTGCTTCCTCCCACTCAGCTCAGTGCCCCAACCCGTCTCGAAGGCAGGCATAACCCCCCTTTTACACAGTTTTCTGTGTACCAGGCCTCTCTGCTTTTTATATGTTCTGTCTTATTTAGCCTCAAAATTACCATGCAAGGGAGGTTGTTGGCCTTCCCAGTTTACAGGTGAGGAAACTGGAGCTTAGTGAAATGGAGAGAGATTCTAATCCAGGTTTGCCCGTAGTGTAGTAGATGCACTGTCCTTCCTGTCCTCAGAAGAAGATCTCCGGAGATTTCTGAGGCCCAAGGCTCAGTCAGCCTCAGTTGAAGCCTCTCCTCACACTTGGCTTAAGCCTCCAGCATCAGATCTGCAGGCCCCATTTAGCCTCCACATCAGGCCTGCAGGCCCCATTGAGCCTCCACATCAAGCCTGCAGGCCCCACTGAGCCTCCGGCATCAGGCCTGCAGGCCCCACTGAGCCTCCAACATCAGGCCTGCAGGCCCCACTGAGCCTCCAACATCAGGCCTGCAGGCCCCATTGAGCCTCCACATCAAGCCTGCAGGCCCCATTGAGCCTCCGGCATCAGGCCTGCAGGCCCCACTGAGCCTCCAACATCAGGCCTGCAGGCCCCATTGAGCCTCCACATCAGGCCTGCAGGCCCCATTGAGCCTCCACATCAGGCCTGCAGGCCCCATTGAGCCTCCAACATCAGGCCTGCAGGCCCCATTGAGCCTCCGGCATCAGGCCTGCAGGCCCCATTGAGCCTCCGGCATCAGGCCTGCAGGCCCAGTCTTGCATGGGACCAAGTAACTGGAGTCTGGAATTCCGTGATTCACCAAATACTTAGCAAGCAGCTGCTCTTCAGAGCAGGGTCCCAAACCAAGGGGTGTGGACCAGGCCTGGGGGCGGGTAGGAGACCACCAGCGTGGTCTAAGCAAGAGCGGAGGAGCTCAGGGCAGTGAGGCTGGTTTGTTTCTTAACATAAGCTAGATTTCAATGGCTGCTGCTTCCTGTTTTGTTATGAAAATGTTCTTTGCTAAAAATCGCACTAAGGTAGTCCTAGATGGGAATCCTCCTTGCTATGCGGAGTGAAACATCAGCAAAGCCTGCGTGTCTACTCCCAGGATTGGTTTTGAAACACAAAATTTTTACTTTCTCTAAAGTCCATGAAAACTCTAATGTCAAGGATCTGAGTAAGAATTAGAGCCAAGTTGGCCAGTCAGCTGTGGGCCCTGACCTCAGGTGGCTCGTGAACTGGCAGGAGGTGGTGGATAAATCTAGTCACCACTGCGTGATAAATTCTCCAAAAACATGATGGTGACTGACTAATGGGAAGAGGTGGCAGGCTCTGTGCCGATGACCAACCTGTCGTTGGTAACTGGCATCATGTCCTGGTGGCCCCTGTGTGCAGAGTAGAACTAACTGCTCTATGGGATTTTCATGTCTCCGATCCTGCAGTAGCCAATCTCCAGGCCTATCTCCTAGTTGGGTTTGAACCACCAACTGGTAGTCCAACACTTAAATTCCATACCACACAAGGACACCAGCATTCCACTTAAATTGTTTTTCTTTTCATTTTCGCTATAATTTTACACAGTTTTGTAGCCAGAAAAGCTGCGTCTTTGTAACTTGCTAGTAAAGTCTGTAGTCAGGGTTCAGCTCTCCTAGGTTCACACCAGAGCCAGGATCCTCAGCCTTAAAAAATCCTTCATGCTCAAGGAGACCTCAAAGGTGAGGATCTACTTCTCTGCCTCCCACAACTGATCTGCCGTCTGCGGGGCAGGCTCACACACATTGATACAGATATTTTACTCAGCACCTGTTTTAAGTAGTAGTTATCGTGAATGTGCCATTGAGTCAGAACAATTCATAGCTGGCCTCTAGGCTGTAAATCACACACAGAGATATTACCCATCTTTTACCAGCAGAGCAGCTGGTGGATTTGAACTGCCTAGCTTTGAGCTGGCAGTGTAGCTCCTTAACCACTAGGCCCCCAGAGCTCCCTGTTGTCAGCAGCAACAGGAGTGACTGTGGTGAAGCTTCTCTCCTGCTAAGGGAGAAGGCAGTTTGTGTTTGAGGACTAGGGCATGTGGCCCGGACCTGCTCAGGCTCCAGTTCCAGCTTAGGCGCCCACTGTCACTCAGATCCTGGCAGGATTTGAACCCGGGAAGTGCGCTTTCTGAACCTGCTCTCTTGTCCTTCACATTCCTTTGCATTCTGTCTTAAGCAGATTCCATGTGGCTTTTTCTTTTAACATGATCCCTATGAGGAATGCATTTTCTGTGGTGACACAGTGAAATACACAGTTAGAATACACAGTGCCTTCTCCTCATCTGTCTACGTAAAACCAAAGCGCAGGCTTACACCACAGAAAAACGGGTGACACTCATCAGCCGCCAGCCCTGCTTGGTGATGTGGGGTGTTCAGCTGAGTGACTGTTTTTCAGGCTGTATTTTGCCTCTTGTTGCTGCTCTGCTTTGGCACAGCCTGGAAGGTGTCCCTCCCCGCTCATTTATTTGGTTTCTTGAAGCCCACCTCTGACCTCTGAGATTGCTCAGCTAGTTCTGGGCTGGGTCAGTTTCTTCACAAGGTGTCTGGTTTTAGGTGAAAGGTCCATCTTGGCGAATGGGGGCCGTGGGGGGTTTTTGGGGGGTCACTCTGTAAAGCGCTGTGTCTTCTTTCCTGGCAGCCGATTCAGAGGCCCTACCGCCAGGTCAGTTTCCCGGACGATGACGAGGAGATCGTGCGCATCAACCCCCGGGACAAGATCTGGATGACCGGCTACGAGGACTACCGTCACGCCCCGGTCCGGGGCAAGTACCTGGACCCGGCGGAGGACGCGGACTCGTACGTGCGCTTCGCCAAGGGAGAGGTGCCCAAGCACGACTACAACTACCCGTACGTGGACTCGTCGGACTACGGGCTCGGGGAGGACGGCGGCAAGGGCCGCGGGGGCAGCGTGATCAAGACGCAGCCGTCCAGGGGCAAGTCCCGGCGACGCAGGGAGGACGGCGAGCGCTCCCGGTGCGTCTACTGCAGGGACATGTTCAACCACGAGGAGAACCGCAGGGGCCACTGCCAGGACGCGCCCGACCCCGTGAGAACTTGCATCCGCCGGGCGAGCTGTATGTGGTGCGCGGACAGCATGCTCTATCACTGTATGTCGGACCCCGAGGGGGACTACACAGACCCTTGCTCGTGCGACACCAGCGACGAGAAGTTTTGCCTCCGGTGGATGGCCCTTATTGCCTTGTCTTTCTTGGCCCCCTGTATGTGCTGTTACCTGCCCCTTCGGGCCTGCTACCACTGTGGGGTGATGTGCAGGTGCTGCGGTGGGAAGCACAAAGCGGCCGTATGACTCAGCCTCCTCCCCCCACCTCCCTCCACAGCCACCGAGAACTTGGCTCTCCATCCTGTCCCTTCCCCTCAGAGGAACAAAAAGAGCAGAGGCCCCGCTCCCAGGTACCCGAGGCGCCATTCCAGCCTGGGGGCCCCTGGCCTGGCCGTCCACATACATCAGTCACCCCACCACCACACACCCACCACAGTGTTCGATGGCAAGGAACCCTTGGAGAGACTCTGTGTATTATTAACAACCTGTAATCAAGCTAAATGTCTTATACATGTGTTTATTTCTGGTCTTAGCTCCCCACCTCTCCCAGTTCAAAGGAGTCTGCAGTCCAGACAGCCCAGTGGCGGTGGGTTTTGTAGCTGAACTTGGAAGGAGCAGCGTGAGACTCCGCTTCTCCTGGTTCAGTGTGCCTCTTGCCTTAGCCTCAGTTCCTGCAGAGCGTGATGTCAGGAGGCTGAAACGTACCAGAAGTATTTCAACCTACAGTTATTAGGAATCGGAAGTGAGCTAGTTCACCGACTTGTATCACAGATCAATACCGCCTTTACTGTTCTGAAGCCAAACTTCCCACCTAAGCTACTGTTTCTTCTGTCTTTAGTCCATTTTCTGCCCACAGACCGCCCGCCTCCCCCACACCCCATAAAAACTCCTGAGATTATTCACTGATGCAAAACATTGAATCCGTGAAACGACTGAGAATTGAGCCTTAACTTCAGAATAATTTGCGGGAATCAGGAAAATTCCTTCAACAGCATTGCATTCTTTTGGACCAGGGCTAGAAAGGGATCCAAGGTTTCTACAAAGCCTCCCTAAAAAAAATAAAAGGAAACCAAACCTGTTGCTGTTGAGTCGCCGGGACTCCCAGTGAACCCTGGAGGGCAGAACAGGGCTGCCCCGGAGGGTCTCCTAGGCTGTAATAGGGGAGCAGGGGTCGCGGGGTCTTCCTCCTGTGAAGCTACCCGCGATTCAGACCACCAAGCGCTTAACCACTGTGCCACCTGAGCTTTTACAAGCCTCCCGAGGTACCCCTAAAACAGAACTTTTTTAAAAAACTGTGTTCCACCACTTCTAAATGTTAAGCAATATTCGAATAAAACACTAATTTAGGAAATCCCGCTCCATGTTTTGCAAACCAAATAGTCCACGTGAACACAAAACCATCGCACCACAAACAGGTTCCAGGTGAGAAACACTAAGATTGTGGTGATCAAACTACGCACTTCCCTGCCGTGACTACTATTTTATAGACTATTTATGGGAGGGGGGATTTTAAATGTCATAAATTTGTCAAGAGTGGTAGGTTCCATTTTGTTTGTGAGGATTTGTTTTAGACTCAATGTCATGTCACCAACTTCTTTACTTGGGGAAAAACAAGGCCATATATATATATATATATTAAACCCTCCTAATGCCTAAGTGTCTTTCTCCTGCAACTCCAGACCTTGACTTGCCACGTTGGGTGCACAGGTAGGCAGGCAGACTGGTTCTGCCTGTCACCTTACCATGTAGGAGGCTTCTAATTAGCTGGAAAAAGAGTATTTTTCTAATCTATTACAAGGAAAAGCCAAATTTTCTTGTTGAAGAAAGATGAGAAGTGAAGCGTGGTTACGTAAACCCAGCATAGTACAATCAGAACCTGTGGGGAGCCCGGGGGCCAGGCATGCCAGCGCTGGCTCTTCTTCCGACCACGACCATGGTGACTCGCCGGCTGCGGGCATGGCCCGGCCTGCCTCTCCCCTCCCCCTCCCCTTCTTTATTGCACACAGGACATCAGCCTTCAAGGAAAGGGACTTCTTTTTTTTTTTTTTTTTTTCCTTTTTCCGGTCTGCCAATCGTCTTGGGAACAGGCTAGCCATGCTTAACCTTCGTGGGAATGTTTTCAGCTCGCCTGGGAGCCCATCACAGTGCTTTAGTCAGCTAATCGGTGTAAATACCCAGTGTGCTTCTGATTTAGTTGATAGATGGTCCGTTTGCTGGAGTTCCTGGTCTGGGCCTTCCGGTCTTAGAAAAGGAGCAGAGAGCTGTGGGTGTGGGTCGATGGAACGAGAGTGGCTCCCGGGCAGGGAGAGTACCTAGAACACCTCCAGCCAGCAGCTTTCTGCCTCGAGGTACTTCCTCCAGGTCTCCTTACAAAGCACAACACTAATGTATGTTTTGTTCCGTCTCAGTTCAAGTGTCCCTATTTATTTCACCAAGTACACATACACCAGCTGCTTGTTGTTTGTCGTCTTTTTATTTAGCCCTCATTCCTGTCTCTGTTCACCCTGTGTCCTCCTCCACCCCTCGTGAGAATTAGGCTAGTGACTCTCACTCCTCCACGTACCCTTTAAGGTTCTGTGAAGGCAGCGGTTAAGGGCACAAGGACAGACATGGGGACATTTATGTAAATAGATCTCTCTAGTCACCACACTGCAGCTGAACAGTGTGTAGTAATTTTCCCGGTCAGCTTTGCCATACTGACGTCAATCATTGGAGAGAAATTATTCAGATTTTATTTTTGTATCTGTGGTAACAAAACATTAACCAAAAGATGTTCTGTTTGGAAGCCCCCCACCCCCGACCAACCCCAGCTATTTGCTCACATTAACAAATTAAAGTGCCTGAAGCAGAATTCATTCTTTACCTGTATACTAAAAACCCTGGTGTATTGATTTTTTTATAATAAGCCTTTTTACCTCTGTGTAAAAAAAAAGTATATATACAAGTGTATGATGTACATTTTAGTTCTTAACTTTTTTTTATGGTTTCTAATATGTATGACCAATGTAGCCATTGCTTTAAGATGTACCATGTAAATATAAACACATCCTATCAGATGGCTGTCTTGGGGTGTTTGTCTGGGGGAGATAGGGGTGGATGCGGGAGCTTTAGCAAACATTGGAGCAGGGTTTCCTTCGGAGGATGTGCACACCGGGCCATATGTGAGGAGGCCCTTCCCGCCCCTGGTTAAGTCATGTCCCCACGGGGACGCTGCAGCTCCGTGGGTTCAGATGGCTCAAACCAAAGGAATGCTTTGTGTTGAAGGAACACCCCCTCTTCTGCGGCCTGGCTTCCCCCACGTGCGCTCCTCAGAGGGAACAGCTGTGCTTCCTCCGAGTTGTTTTCCACCAATTCCTGCTGACCCTCCGGGGTGGGTGTGTGTGTGTGTCGCATTTGGAAGATAATTTTGCAGAGAAAACAATTGTTCAAACTGCTGGACCTGGGTTTCCTAAGAGCTCTCGTGAGCTGGAATTTGGCCCTCTTCCCCTTCTAGATAGCTTCGCATAATAATTACCACATTATTATTATTTTTTTATTATTATTATAAAGGAGCTCTAGTGGCTTAGTGGTAAAGTGTTATGCTGCCAATCCAAAAGTATGTGGTTTGAATCCACCAGTTGCTCCACGAGTGAAAGATGTGCAGTCTTCCGTGCAATCTACTGCCTCTGGAGAGTCAGCCGTGACCCGGCTCAGACTTGATGGTACGCGGCAACAACACCTGTTCTCATAGGATCTGGATACCCAGAAGTCACAATGACAGGCCTCTGGAGGAAATGCAGTGTGGGGCTCAGAGAACCGAAAAGCCCCTACACTGGAGATCCAGGGAAGCCAGGTGCCACCTTATTTGGCTCATTCATGGTGGCCTGAGTGCGTCAGAACTGTGTTCCCGAGGACTTGGAAGAGTAACCCATGTGCATCAGAGAACCATGCTCTGATTTGTTAAAAGCAAATTGCCATACATTTCTTTTGAGGCTTTTCAGCAGGCAGCCAAGCAGGTTAACCGTTTACACCTCCAAGGGACTCCAGAGACCAGTAGAGTCCTTTGAAAGATGTGTAGATACCCCTTTATTTTAGTTCTAAAACTCTCCCAAAGGGGTGACAAGACAGTCGCTACAGACTGACTTGAGAGCTGCTCTAGGGCCAGGGGTGGGAGCTGGGGGGAAGCCGGGAGACCTAGGAGTTCCCGACCCTCAAACACTCAGCCCCCGCCACCCCCCAGGTAGCCCTCTCCCTATATCCCTGCTTTACCCTTGGGCAGGGCCAGTCACTAGCGTAACATGGTCACAGGCATCAAGGACAATCCAGGCCTGAGCCTGGTCCTCATGCGGCCGCCTCTGCCCCTGCACCACCCACCTTCTCAGCTGAACCACAAAGCAGGACCACCATTCAGTTCTGCTCACTTGGCCCCCTCAGCAGGCTGGGTCATCTCCCTTAACCCCGACAGGCAGTTCCCATTCAGAGTGACCGTATAAGGCCTGCAGGCCGTGTCTTTTCACCACATTGAAGAGTCTACATCTAGGCCTGGCTGACAGATGTCTCCTCAACCCCACAGCACATTCCAAAGAATCACAAGCTCTTCTCAAAACATACTTTCCAGTGTTGGAGAACCTGGTAAGCGAGGTGTTTGCAGATCTGCAGCGGACTCGGTTGTAAGCCAGCACAACCCTTACCTCACTTAAATCGTCACGGGGGCCCACAGTGTAAATCTACTGGAGCACACTGCCACCTCTTTGTCTTGTGAAGCTGGGGAGTTCAAACAGCCACTGTGCCACCAGGCCCCCCTCTGCAGAGAGGAGCAGGCATTTAGACTTTACAGGAGAAAACTCGACAAGGTGTGTGGAGCGTGCCTGTGACCAGGTGACACGTTTCCGAGCCTCTGAAGGGAATGCCTACCCTCTCCCTGCTGGGAGGGTGCAGTATGCCCACTGTAGTAAAGTGCACTTAGCAGGAAATGCTCCATAAATTCAAGTTGCTTCTTCAGCTCCTCCTTCCAGGACATCAAGAGCTGCTGGGGACAGCCTCAGCCTCTTATAAAAGGAGCGCCTTGTGGCCACGTTGTGAGTATTTAGACATAAAGCCTGTATGCTGAGGTCCCCCACATTCTCTGCTAGTCTAAATTTGAGGTTTTTTTCCTTTCTGTCCTTTCCAGAGAGTGTGCTAGTGACCCAGCTACAACTGCAGAGGTTCACCAAGCTGGCTAGTTTTCCAGAACTCAAGAAGTGCTGTGTGGGGAGAACTAGGTCTCG